ATAAATAGAAGCAAATAAATGTATTTATCTTACACGTTTCAACAAGCGCAATAATATCCGGCTCATCGGACAGGCCCCTAGCTATTCTGCCATCCAAAACATCTCATTGCCATGCAGTTCAAGATGAGATTACGACTACAACGGCAAGTAAGTCTACTCCAAGTACTCTTGAAAATGTTTGTAGCGTAAACGCGCTACGTGCACCCTTGAATGATTAAGGCGCCTGTAGGGCCAAACAGAAGGCAACGACAAGAGCGTTGACTGGAGGCGGCGTTTAGTGGACATGAGCTCTGGGAGGCCCCAGGTCCCAAACTAGGTCCGATCTCCCCAGCTCCGAACTTAGGCTCTATTTTTCCAGTTCCAAGCCTAGGCCCTAGTTTCCCAGCTCCGAACCTAGACCCTAGCCTCCCAGCTCCCAACATAAGTCCAAGCTTCCCAGCTCCGAACCTAGGCCCTGGCTCCCAGCTATGAACCTAGGCCCTAGCCTCCCGGCTCCGAACTTAGGTCCTAGCTTCCCAGCTTCGAACCTAGGCCCTTGCCTCCCAGCTCCCAGCCTAGGCCCTGGCTTCCCTGCTCCCAACCTAGGTCCTAGCTTCCCACCTCCCAGCCTGGGCCCTAGCTCTCCAGCCCCGAATCTAGGCCCTAGCTCTCCAGCTCCGAACCCAGGCCCTATCTGACAAGCTCTGAATGCTGTGTCCCAGCAGGACGGTAGCAGCAAAGAGAGGTAAGACTGGTAACTTCGTCCCGTTGTTATGTATTAGGGATTTGTTCACATGCTTCAAATACTGACATCCATGCCGTGAAAACAAAAACAAACGAGAGTGGCCGCTGCCGGCCGAAACGCAAAGCCTCGCTCAATGTCTGTCTGACAACGCGCTGGATCGCGCTTCTTTCGCACGTGACAGTTTTGTGCGGACTACCGGAAATCATACGAAACTACGAGGTGACGGACGTGACGAAACTACGAGGTGACGCCGGGTAGCGGGTCAAACTTTTGTTGAAGCGCCCCGTCTTTTCCAGGTGAGGAGCGCGGCGACCATTCTCCCTAGCAGGAAACTCACATGGATTAGACACCGAACCGTTTCTGCGATAAATGTCGGAAAAATCATGTCCTGTAAGACGATTCCGATCTGAACTCCATGCTGAAAAGGCAAAACACGAATGTCTTTCACATGTTACTGACACGGAGCCGGATGTTGGTGACTAAGAAGACTATGAAGTGCACATCATCAACGTCGTTAACCTACACCAAACGACCACAGATGACAAATAACTGTTCCGACATCCGCCACTCAGTGGCGCGCTGCACATTCAATGATCTCGTAACGAACGGCTCTGAGAACACCCCGTCGAACGGAAAGCTCAACAGAGCTGCGCAATCAACGTTAGCCAGGTGCCGCGCGTTCTGGAACAAGCAGGGCCGCAGCGCCTCGAGCGCGGACGTACCCTGAGAGGAACGTTCGCAGCTGTTTGTGGTTTTCCCTGCGTCACCCGGTGGAACAGTTCGAATCAAGCGTGGCAGCAAGTGCAGGACATCACGCCCAAGTTCACGGATAGCCTCGACGGTCTGACGATGCTCTGAGGTCCCATGATGGTGACAATGCTCTGACGATGAGGCTCTGATGCCACGGTCCACGCGGTAGGACATCACTTCTACCACTGAGTACGTCAAGCTCATGGAACTAGCGACACGGAGACTAGACATACTATATGGCCAGAAAAACAGCTATGTGGACCCCGTCCTGCCCACGGCGGCCCAGCTGCCCGTGATGGGGAGCAGGTCAGTGTTACAGATCTACACTCATGTGGTGGGGGGCCTCTTGTGTTCCCCGAAGAATACCTGGAACCGAAGTTCAACGACGACAAGCACATCCTGGCTGTTGCCGTCCTTTCCCGCGTTTCAAACTGGCGTCGGTGGATGACAACGGGGCACAGACACGCGCCAAGACGCTCCTCTGGGCCGCCATGTCGAGGATCGAGTTGGCGGAACGAGAAGAGGGTGGAGAGACGCTGCACGATGTTGACGAACCTGCCATCGAGTCAGCTGCTCTGCAGGCACGCTGTCGCGGACGTAAACCTCCGCGGCGAGCGCGGCGCAACGCTGAGCGATCGCTCAACCGCGGTCGAGACACTATCTAGAAACTATCGAGGAACTTTCCCGCCAAGTAAACACAGTTTTACCATCGTCAGGTACAGTGGAGCGTCCGTTTTCGAGCGGAGCCGGACTACTCCAGGCAAACCGGAACAGGCTGGCCAACAACAACTTCCAGATGGAGCCTATGCTGCAGTTCAACGCATATTACCCTCCGCGCTGTTGGCACTTCGTCTTCCTACTAACCACCAAGTTACGGTATTTGGAAGTCGTCAATACACTAGCAGGCAGTTTCCCAGCAGTTTGTTAGCATTCGCTGCAACGCTTGCCTAAATATACTTGCATCGTAGTTTTCGTGTGCGATGCTATCACTATGCACTGCGCATTAAAAAAATTGTATTTGGGATTTGGAAACGTGTTGCGGATTGCAATTCCAATCCTAGTCCTGATAAAGAAAATTGATTAAAATTTGAATCATTTTTGGCAGGAGCGATGAGGATTTGGAATGCAATCATGTTTCCTCTGGGTTCAGCATACCGCTGGGTCATGCTGAAGGGCCCCACCCGGTCAAGAAGTAGCCTAGTAAACCCCATATCATTTGAGCATAGGCATACAATAAACAAGTTCTGTGAGTTAAATTCACCAAAAGTACCGCACAATCCCCTGATCTATTTCAATGTTTTATCTGTATCCATTATGTTTGACCCCAGAGCAAATGCGTCGAAAGCAGAGTGCAAGAGGTCACTTTGTCAGCTATTTGCAACTTGTTGGGATAAAATGCCTGTTGGCTTCCTGCTTGTTCTGGAAAAATGCAAACTAAGTATGTTGCAGAATGAACAGTTCCTTCAAGGGATTGAGATCCCTCTCATACGGACTGGTATTCCTCTAGAGAATGCTTTAACGACATCGATAATACCAAGTCAATTCAGCACTTCTCTTTTTCCTGAAGCGTGCATAAAAAACTTTACTGCAGAGGAAACCCTCGGAAATCCTACAGACACAGAACAGATGACTAGTTGCATGATCATTAATTTAAAAACAGAAGCCTCCTGCCAAAAGATAACCAGCGCATTGGGAGAGTAGACTGCAGCTTTCTATGCGTTTATCCATCTATGCGTTCAAAGAACCCAAAATAGATTAAGTTGCCGACATTTCCCAGTTAGACAAAAGACGACCAGGTAGAAAATATAGCCCAAAATTTTCGCTGAGTAGCGAGGCAAGCGTCAAATTTCTTCCAAATTCCTACGCAGCAAATTCCTATGAAATTGCTCCCACCTAGCGTAAGCCTCTTGACACAAAGGGGGAAGTGGCAGGATCCTTTTGGTCCTCCGCTGGGCTATATGCCCGCCAGCAAGCACAACTAACTCCTCCTGGTCAGCAACTCACTCTGCCCTATGATTAACTCCCCACTGTCCCTTTAATCCAATGAATAACACACTGGTTAAATAAACGAAATCCCAAACACGGCGTCACGTAGGGGTCATCGAAATTACCAAACAACTCTGGGAAGACCAGAGGGCTCTGAGGGCGCTATCCTAAAGACAGGCTTTCTTTTGTTTGGCCACAGTTATTTAGAGCTGAACATTGGTTCACGATGGTTCGCATCCATGGGCGCTGCCAGGTCGTGGCGGCTCCTGACTCTGACGCGGTGAGAAGTTCGAGGGACGTGGACACCCCTGACGCTCATGAGTACCAGCCCGACGGACGTGGACACCCCTGACGTTCGTGAGTACCATCCCGACGGACGTGGACACCCCCGACGCTCGTGAGGACCAGTCCCGACTGACGTGGACAACCCTGACACTCGTGAGTACCAGTCCCGACTGACGTGGACACCCCTAACGCTCGTGAGTACCATCCCGACGGACGTGGACACCCCTGACGCTCGTGAGTACCATCCCGACGGACGTGGACACCCCTGACGTTCGTGAGTACCATCCCTACGGACGTGGACACCCCTGACGCTCGTGAGTGCCATCCTCGATCAACGTGGACACCCCCGACGCTCGTGAGTACCATCCCGACTGACGTGGCCACCCCTGGCGCTCGTGAGTACCAGTCCCGACTGACGTGGACACCCCTGGCGCTCGTGAGTACCAGTCCCGACTGACGTGGACACCCCTGGAGCTCGTGAGTGACATCCCGACGGACATGGACACCCCTGGCGCTCGTGAGTACCAGTCCCGACTGACGTGGACACCCCTGGCGCTCGTGAGTACCAGTCCCGACTGACGTGGACACCCCTGACGCTCGTGAGCACCAGCCAGACCGATGTGGTCCGAGACAACGTCACCAGTCGTCACCGTCACGTCCCCATATGGTGGCCAAAGTAACTACTTGTAACGCTCACTATCCATCCCGAATGACACGGTGTGAAAACAAAGACAGTCTGAGACAGGTTCAACTCACAATCCCCTCAGCTAGGTCGGTTGTGTGAAATGGTGACCCTGTTCTCCTTGAAACCGACATAATGCTTATAAACGTATCTGTCTTATCTGGCGTTACATTGCTGTACAATGTTCACCACACCGCATCAAAACACGTCTGTAACAAGGCAGGGTTTCCCTGCCTTGCTTCCCCTGCCTGCCTTTCCGCCACCCTCGGACACCATTCACCGCAAGATGCACCTGCAGGAGTTGGAGCACGCCACAGCCAGTGCTGGAACCCATTTGAAAATCCGGTGGCACATTCTTCTTATCGTTATACGAAGAGTATAAACGGCGTTTTGCGCCTAATCTCACCCCAGTTTCAATGGAAAACCGCTATTTGCATATCCTGCCATGCCTCTGAGTGGTATCAGTTCCGCATGCTCTGCAAAAACGGCAATGAGGACATTTGCCTGCTCATAACTCACCTCGGCCGATCCAGTAAACCGCACACAGCTGCAAAAAAAAACGTACACCCTTACCAGGCCATGCTGACAGGAAAAGCTGGTCTGGTTTTCAACTCCGAGCCGCCGCTCCTTGTGCGCGCGTCGAAATCAGGTCCATCCACGACCAGCGCCCGATCCAGAGGCCTGTCACAGCAGCACCCCAGACGGGGTGCCGCCCACGCCTGCCCCCCGCGCCCACTTCAGCGGCACGACTGACACGGCAGCTCCTCATCACCAAAGCTTGCCAAACTCCGCGCAAACCACAGGGCGGTCACCGCCACGGTAGGCGTGCTCCAGCGGTGCGATTGGCGCAGCTATCCTGTGCCGTAGCCAGCGCGGGGTCGCATTCTGCAGGCGGTGAGAGTGAGAGGCGAGATTACGTCACGGCTGGGCATGTCACGTGACCAGCTCGGTGGGTCCACGAGATGACGGCAGTAGACTGTCGTGAGGTGCTGAGCCGCTGATCGGCTCAGCGGGAAAGAGCAGATTACCCCATCAGCACAGAGCTACAGATCCGCCCAGCAGGGATGATCGGATCACCCGATCGGCACGGAGTCACAGACTGACCCAGCAGGAATCACGCCAGATCAACACAGTCACAGATCGGCCCAGCAGGAATGATCAGTTCACCTGATCAACACATGAGCCATGATTCCCGATGGCGTCAAAAGTCTGTTACTTTGTGTGATTTCAGGACGCTTTGGTGGAACATCAACATTGCGCGCCTTTGTAAATTCATAACTACTGATTATATCAGTGCAATATGCTTTTGCCTGAGTTCTGATCAGATGCGTGTACGCACGGAGTGATCTCTAGGGGCACATGCCACCTTCTATCAGTTTTGTTACATATCTTAATGCGTTATGATTAAAGTTACGGAAATACAAAATTCAGATGCGTGTACGCACGGAGTGATCTCTAGGGGCACATGCCACCTTCTATCAATTTTGTTACATATCTTAATGCGTTATGATTAAAGTTACGGAAATACAAAATTCGAGGACGGCGAGTAAGGTCAAATAAGCTTAGAACATACAATGCTATTTTCCATCATACGAGGAGTTTTGCGGGCCTGTGCCACGCTAATCTGAATTTAAAGTAAGCTTCGGTTTTGTGTTTGCTTGCGAAATTTGCTTGCGAAATTGCGGGTCAACGCAGGGGTCGGTGGGAAAGTGTACTGCGCCGCAACGGCCAGACCGGCCTGTCCTGCTCCCTGGCGGCAAGAGGGTCAGCATGTATATTAATGATCGAAGGAGAGTAAGGGAATTTCTCGCGCTTCAATCGGCATTTCCGTTGCTGACTGTGCTATAGTTGCCTGGTATCCAACAAAAATATGTAGTTTTTGACGAAATTCCACGATTTTGATGAGTTGAAATACCTGGATGAAAGCGTGGAATGCCGCAACCCAAGCGAGCTCAGACTAGATCGAAATGGCTATGGCTGGCGAAATGGCAAATGGCGAAATGGCTAATGGAATTCCAGACTAGATCGAAATGGCTATCATTCACGAAGGCCACTGCATCTGCTATTCGATTTCAATCTTCCGAGCCGTCTGTGAACCTATAAGAAGCCCTCAGTCCGTACGTGAGCATGTAAGAAGCCGTCAGTCCGCCTGTGAGCCTGTGAGAAGCCGTCAATCCGCCTGTGAGCCTGTGAGAAGCCATCAGTCCGCCTGTGAGCCTGTCAGAAGCCCTCAGTCCGTCTGTGAACCTGTGAGAAGCCATCAGTCCGCCTGTGAGCCTGTAGGAAACCGTTCTGTCCGTCTATGGAGTCTTTAAAAAGCCTCCGTCAGAGGAGTTCCGCTTTACAACGCTAAACCGTGAGTAACTATTTAACGACACTAGCCTTCCGAAGATTCTAATTTCATTATGAATCAGATGCCATCTTGGATCGCGAGGAGCTGACAGCAACTGGGGTACGCTAAGTCGTGTTTTAGCTGAAGTGAAGGCCTCCCATACCTGATGAGGCCCAGGAAATCCGCATGTGTCAGTCCTGAAATGTATGTTGTTTTCGTTCCATACTCAGCAAAGGCCAGAGTTATTCTTCAGTGAAAGATGTAGAACGGTGCAGAATTCACCCTGGTCTATGTGGTGCCTTCGTGCTCCTGAGGCTTGTAATATACCATCATGTTATTTCAAAGTTGAAATCCATTTTGAGATGTTTACCACTGTTCACTACACAGTGAAATCTACTTTTCATTATTGACTGCGTGTCGTACTATAGCTATATGGCGAGGCTATAAAATAAAACGGAAGATATAGCACACACACGCCAACATTTCAGGTTTTTGGGATTTACTCGGCTTCAGAAACGTCTTTTCGTACCTTGTTGTTTGCCGTTCTGAAAACAATATGACATGTAAATATGTTTGATATCCGCCATCCTTTTCATCCCGCCAGCGCGACTTGCACGCGGTCATTAACGGCATGTTTGGTAGGGGGGGGGGGATGGAGGCGGAAGGACAGTTGCCCCTACATTGGCAAAGCATGTTCAACGGCCGTGGTTGGTTGGAAAGGAGTCGACTAAAGCTCCCTCCCCCTTTCCCTTATCCAGACGGTAGACCGCTGGACACTTGGGCAGTGAGGTGACAGTCCTTGTGGGCTATTTTTTTGAGTTGCCAATAGGATTGCAGCTTTTTGAAATTCCAAACCTTTTCGAAGCTCAATTTGGAAATCGCGCGGAGGGGGCAAAGATCTTTGGAATTTGTTGAACAGCCGGTATGATCGTCTCGTGTGGCAGATTGGTATGCCCCTGAAGGGATTTAATGCTGCTCTTTTTCGAAATAAGCTGGTGCTGACACATAAACAAGTTGTCGAAAGGGCGTGGAAGAAAAACTTATTTTTGAAGCATGAGAGATAAAGAGTTTCAAACATAAAGAGCATCGGTAAAAAATGCATTGTTATGCAATGCAATGCATGTTAATTTTGTCAGTAGAACCTGTGGTACTCAGTGCTTACCTAGTTACCATTCCTTACCACTCACCAACCAAATATGTTGCCGCCGACGAGCTTAGTAATGCTCAAGCTTAGCGTTCGTCGTTATGAATTGTAAATGGCGGATGTTTTCGAGACCCCGTGATGCATATTACTTATCTATGATAATTTGCTCTCTTGTCTTCCGATTCGAGCAGGGGGAATGCAGCGACGCGAGTGATGACAGGGGTTAATGGTTGTAGAGCAAGAAACATGTGTTTTACTTGGCTGCGGTTGTAAAAGTATTTTGCCTTTTAAAAAGGCATTTGTAATTCCACCAACGCGTCGAGCGTCGGGTGTCACTGTCCATGGTAGGAGCATCGGCCGTCACTGTTCATGGTAGGAGCGTCGGGTGCCACTGGCCATGGTAGGAGCGTCGGGTGTCACTGTCCATGGCTGGAGCGTCGGCTGTCACCGTCCATGGCTGGAGTGTCGGCCGTCACTGTGCATGGTAGAAGTGTCGGCCGTCACCGTCCATGGCTGGAGCGTCGGCCGTCGCTGTCCATGGCTGGGGTGTCGGCCGTCGCTGTCCATGGCAGGAGCGTCGGCCGTCACTGTCCATGGTAGAAGCGCCGGCCGTCACCGTCCATGGCTGGAGCGTCGGTTCTCACTAACCTTGGTGGGAGCGGAAAACTCGCGGCGCGTACAGCAAACTCTCACCACTGTCAAAAATGCGCCTACGAACATAATGTTGCATCACCCATTCGATGTCGTAAGCATGAAATTGTATGATGGTAAAAAATTGCACAACATGGGCCGAAACTCGTAATATATCTTGACAGTCCGGTGTCGCTACAACACGAGATCAAACCGTTTGACAGCGGACATAAGCTGGTCGATTGTGCAGCCGGCTACTTGCACCCGATCGCAAACCACGGACTTTTCCATTCTAGAGTACTTTTAGTGACACCCATCACTAGCCAGAGCACATATGACACGGAAAGGCATATGGCATACGTGAAACATACATATGGCATACGTATGGCATACGTGAAAACATCGTCTGCAAACTGTTAAGAGGCTTTAACGCTCTTCGATCCAGTGGAGCGTCAGCAATGGATTGGAAAACGATTTTTTTAAAAACCGGTCTCGAAAAGTATACGCTGCAGGCCAACTCGGGTAAGATTGAGACATCTAGCTTACGTAGGCATGTTGCACAGGTCATTGTGATTAATATCGGCCCAAAATATTTGCATGTTTTACAACATCGTCATCACTGCCATAAAACATGTCAATGTTCTACATTTATGACTTAATTGAGTGAACTTAGCGAGCCAGGCTAAGCCAGGCAAGGGGTGGCAGACAGGGGCAGTGCGATGCGTCACACAGACGGTAAGCCTTCTTCGAAAATGAAACCGGCCGGTGACCTTCAGAAATGGTGCCCGGCGTCGGCCAGCGGGGCGCATCCGCCAATACGTGCCTGCTGGACAGTGTCATGCAATGCTGCCGTACCAGGCCACGTAAGCCAACTCTTCTGAGAAGACGCGCCTTGAAGAGCAGCGTTATGTGCATCTATCTCTATGTGGGCCTTCTGGTCAGATGCCGTTAGCATGGCTCGTACATATGTATGTAAGCTCGGGAAACGTAGCGAACTTTGTAACCTGCATTCCAGCTGCGACCGACACCTTCCCGCCCGCACCGGGCCAGCGTCCGTCCTTAGGTCTCCCGGCGCACAGAGGCCCTGACCACAGGTCACCTGCCGAGTGACCGGCACGCCGCGAACCAATCACCGCCCGGGTCACAGCGCCCCGGGCACCGCGACCTCCGACCGCCGGGTGGACGGGACGAGCCGCGTGGCCGGGGGTGGAGAGGTAAGCACAAGCAGCACTGTTACCCTTTTTCCCCTACGACAAGGATAACACCATCTTTTATTGCAAACATTATGCGTGCGGAGTTACATATCGAACTGCCCCAGCAACAAAACACGGTCTAGACGACAAAATCATCCAGCGTTTCATTTAAGCACGACCAATCCCACACAGGCGTCTCCCAGGCAGGCAACACTTCCACGCACATGGTGAAAACAAAAGCCAAACGTCGCCCAACGAGCCCGCATCGGCATCTTTCACTCGCCAGGGAAGTGCCTCATGGCGCTCCGACATATAAGAGCGCGGTCTAACCCACCGGGCTGGTGAACCCGCGTTCCGTGGTGCAAGTATCAGTCATCACCGGAAAGAACATGGGACAGATCGGGCCTGAACGGCCCGATCGGACGAGCCGAACGGCG